CAATTAACACATATTTTGTATGTTAATATATATTACACAATGTATTCTTACAATAAATTAAAGAAAAGAAAATCATAAGGAAATGAAAATATAGTATTCATGGGGGGGGGGGCACATATAAGTGGACCCACACAGTTCAAACTTATAGTCAAGGGTCAACTGTACTTTTTTTTCCTAGACATATATCTATGACAAATTTATAAATTAGACATAGTAAGAGATAAAGAACTACTAATAAAAGAACAATTTGGCTCAGTGGATAGAGTGTCCTGGGTTTGATTCCGGCCAAGAGCACATGCCTGGATTTGTGGGCTCGATCCCCAGTGGGAGACGTGCAGGAGGCAGCTGATCAATGATTCCTTTTCATCATTGATGTTTCTATCTCCTCTCCCTCCTCTCTGAAACCAATACAAATATGTTTTTTAAAAGAGCAATATAACACACTGTAATAAAGCCAAGTTCATATAGCAGTAAGTGAAGAAGGGTTTCCTGAACAAGCACTACAGTACCTGACAGCTGATCTGAAAAACCCACCAGATTTTTCACGGTCGGGTGATGGGTACACGGAGGATATGCTAGACAAAGGGATGCTTCACAGCCCAAGCGGGGACGGTGAGATTTCATCACACTACTAAGAATGGAACATAGTTTAAAACATGAATTGTTTATTTCGGAATTCTCCCTTTAATATTTCTGGGCTGCCGCTGGCCATAGTTAACTGGAGTCATGGAAAGCAAAACCGCTGATAAAGGGGGGATTACTGAATTTATAGCAATTAATCCCCTATTTTCTGCTCAAAAAGTTTCTGAACAGTTAAAAATCATGTTAAAATGTGCACTGAGTAAATACAGAATATCGTACCAAAGCCTTGGATTCTGTCCCTTTTCATCTTTGGGTGGTGTCAAAATCCATACCCTCTGGGCTTTGGATTTCTCATCCAGGACAGGTGGACTGCCCAAACCATCTACCTCCTGTGACAGTCAACAATCTGCGATTCTCATTCAGACTGCCAGAAGGAAAACCTCTTTTTGAGGATGGAGTATACTTTTATTACAAGAAGTGATTTAATGTCTGTCAATAAAAATAAGTAGTGAGGTTGTAGGTTATTTCTACTTTGGAATGATTCCAGGGTATTACACAAACAAAAATTAGACCAAACAGAAGAACCCAAGATCATGTGACATGTGACTTATGTCTGTCCCCTCACCCATGGAGACACCATTATAGTGAATTCTGTACAGGATATCTGCAGTCTGATGTGAAGGTCAGAAAAGGCAAAAGCAAATATGTCCTAATTTTATTTCAGCTTTTTGGATATGTGATCATTGTTTACAATTGCCTTTTATGATTCTAACGCTTAGTTTGAGGCCTTGTAGTACTACAAGTTAACACAAGAGGTCAGCAAGCAATTAGCTATTCAAACTTGGCAATGTTATGAATTATTTAAAACATTACAACTGCTAAAGATGAATTCAAGAAATGTTTAAATGACCTTGATTTTTGTTGATGAACATTTTTAAGTGAAATTGACAGTCCCTGAGATTGTACAATGAATACTGTTTAATCTCAAATAGTCTCTTAGCCTATCTCTTACCAGCTGTAGTTAGTGTTATTCACCTTTTTGAAAAGTGTTTCTACAAGTTTTTAATTAGGGCCACTCAATTGAAAAGGTAATTTTGTAAAACGCTTCATTGTTTGATGCTTTTGTTTAACACTATCTTGTTATTGTTTTTTTAGGTTACATTTCGGACAAGAATCTATCACTGTAATATTAACAGCCAAGGGGTTATCTGCTTGGACATATTGAAAGATAATTGGAGTCCAGCACTGACCATTTCTAAAGTCCTCCTTTCTATCTGCTCACTTCTTACAGACTGTAATCCTGGTAAGGTCAATAATTCTTTACCTTGTTGTATTCTTCCTTTTCTGAAAAACACTTGTTTTTCCACATAAACAAATATTATTTTTCTAACACCTTTCAAAGGACAAAATAGATTTTTTTTTTTAATCTTGAATCAAGAGAAATTCACTCTAGTAGTTGAATCAATCTGATTGAAAAATGCAGCAACTTTACCATTAATTGATATGTGTTCTAGGAACAAGGTGTTTTAAACTAAAGACATCATTCTCCCTTGTACACGGTGGGGCAAAAGTAGGTTTACAGTTGTGGGGTTATTTATTCTACAATAATTAATAAAGAATAAATTGTTATGTGTACTTATGACTATAATCTACTTTTGCCCCACGCTGTATATTTCTCTTTAAAAAAAATATCAGAGTTCTAAGTGTTGAGCCATCTGCAGGTTTACTGAGCACTTACCCTGTACCTGGTTACTGAGGTGGTATTCATTTTTTAAAGTGATATTTCTTTGCTAAACATTTATTGACTACCAGCCTGTGATGTTAGGGGTGGGGAAGCAAATATACAATTAATTATTATTAAGGATTCTAGTTAGGATTCAGAGAAACACTATACTTCAAGTCCAGGTTCTTGCTGGGTAACAGTGTAGAGTTAAATAGTGTTACATTGCAACAGCCATGAGGACTACACAGTATTCAGTGTCATCATTGCTGCCACTGAGCGAGTAAAGGGTCATGTGAACACAGCTGGATGTTCATTGTAGTCTGGAGCCTTGAACATTCCAGTTTCTATTGAATTTACCCTAACACATGAACGCAAAAATCCCTTCGTTTGGGTCATGGTTGTTGGGAGAGGAACGGAATGAACGAAGGAGATAAAGCATTCTACTTTGATAATTTTTTGCCATATTCTGAGTAGTTTTTTAAGCTAAAAATATAAGAGAGTGGCATTTCAAAGATGGACTTAATCACATGTACTTGGTACATTTCTTCCAAAGTTGCCAGTAATTTAATTGCTAAGGCTTAAAATATTCTTTTCCTTTCTCCAAAGTAATCTACATTCTTTTCTTCCAGCCGACCCCTTGGTGGGAAGTATTGCCACTCAGTATATGACCAACAGAGCAGAACATGACAGAATGGCCAGACAGTGGACCAAGAGATACGCTACATAAATTGAGTTTTCACAATTCTTACATTATTTGTCTGTCACAGAGAGCTGCTTATGATTTTGAAGGGGTGGGGGAGGGTGGGAGTTGGTAAAGAGTAGGGTATTTCTATAACAGATATTATTCAGTCTTATTTCCTAAGATTTTGTTGTAACTTAAGGTATCTTGCTACAGTAGACAGAACTGGTAATAGCAACATTTAAATTGTCATTAGTTCTGCAATATAAGCTAAAATGTAGTTCAGAGAAGAATAGACTTTGGATTCGGTTGCTTGTAGTCTGTAAATTTAAGCCAGCTTAATTTTGTGCAGGTTACACACATGGCCATTTCTGTGAAAGTCCTTCCAGACTGCATACTTTTTTGTTTAGAAAAATTGAAACTTGTTTTCCCTTCTTGGAAGGGAATGTTGATATTTAACAGTTTTTAGAGATTGTCATCTCATAAGTTAAATGGACATGTGGCTTATAAGACTTATAGGTGATGAGTAGTTATGTATTTTATTTTATATGCCAATCTACTTTATTGTGAAAAGAGTAGAGGTTTGAATCAGGACTCGTGAAAACCTGTAGTAAAATACCTTAAGCTGTTAACTGTAAGGCGTGGAATAGGAGTTGCTCAGTGGATTGGTTATATGTTGCAGACTACTTAAGTCTGCATTTGTTACTGTGCTAATAAACAATATTAAAACAACCACCTAACATCCCTGTATCATTTTCTCTCTTTTAAACTAGATCTTTGCTATAAAGCAACCTAGACGTAATTGCAAACTGAATGGAGTGGTATGTAACGCTAATTTATACAGCAAGCCTTGCAGGAGAGATTTTGAGATGTCTTAGAAGAGGTTAATAATTGAACCTGTCACCTTTCAGAAATGGATGCAAAGATGCATCTTTTAAAAAGCATTTCCAAGTTGCAGATGCTGTGGTGGCAAGTACATGAGAAATGGGTTTTCTCATGGATAGATTAGTGCAGCCACATTGGAGGGCAATCTGACAGCACCTAAGTGTGCATATCTTTAGGATGTGGCAATTCTATTTGTACTACTCCAGAGAAACTCACCCAGGTGCATGCGGTGAAGGTACATACACATTCATTAAGAGTTTAAAAGGAATATGGTAACATTCCAGTATAGATCTAAGTTCAGTAGGAAAAAGCAAAGCTGCAAGATGATCTAGTATATTATCTAAAAATAATTGTAAAAGTGTTTATGTTCCTATGTAAAATACATGGGGGGAAAAAGCTGTAAGTGGGAGAGCAGATAGAGAATGACTTAACCGTATATGAGCAATAATTTTAGACCAAAAAATGTACTTGTGATGAGAAATTTTAAAGAATTATGCAGTGGTAGCACTAGCCTAACCTAAAAGCATCCCATTGAAGATGTTAAAACTTGTTATTTTGTCATTTCTTTGCTGAATAGCTTATTTCATATTTTAATAGTTAACTGTTTTTACATTAAAACCACTAAGTAGCTTGTTTCCTACCTTTAAAATTAGTTATAAAATTGACATTTGCTAAATACAGTGAGCTCTGCTGCTCAGAGCTTGCCAAAAATCTTCAGAGACCTTTAGCACAAACTCAGATATCCAACTTGAAGACTATCTGTACTCCAGTATTTTTATGATACATTTTATCCTCAGGATACATGTTCAGAAAACTATTCCAGGAGGTTTTCCTTGTGGAAAACAGAAGGTTTACTGTCCTTATGTGCCTAGCAGTTACCACAGGGTTTGTTCTATTAGCAAGATCCCCTCTAGATAAAATTCAGCTTAGCACTCAAATAGTTTACTGTTGGTTCCAATTTGGACACACAAGAAATGCCATTTTATAATCCTAGGCATTAAATGACTTGTGAATTTTTTGAAAACGAAGTTATGTTTGAGCTAAGAATGATAGCTTTTGAAACATTAAAGGGGGGACACTACTTATAGATGTGTATATATAAATAACAAAGGTGCTAATATCAGGGACAAGTTTCAAGCAACCAGAATGCAAATATATTATTTTATATCAGGCAATAATAATAAGCTTATCCCACATAATTTAATCATAGCCTTACAAGCATTACATTGCTTCCTTAGGGATTTCTACCAGACCAAAAGTAGCTACAAATGGCCTATTTTAAATATGTTCACAGATACATAAGAGCAATTGCTATTCAACCAACAATTGTGGAACTGATTTTTAGTTCTCAGAACTAGAATTCCCTTTGTTTTTCCTCCCAGGCAGAGGAAAGCTGGACTTGCTCTGGGGCTGGGAGAGTTTGCTGGCTAAGAGAGTGAACGGTTCGATCAGAGTTTTCCTATCTGTAACTGTTACCTCCCACAGCCGCACCTTCTCGCTTTTTGCCCATTGCTGTGCCACTTCAGCATCCACTTGTCTCTGCTCAGAAAGGTCGAGTTTGTTTCCTAATACGACAATTGCTACCTGAAAAGAAAAAGGGATAAAAAGGTCACCCTTTGCCAACATCATCGGTTCCCAGGCAAAATGGAGAAATAAAACTGTTCCACTTAACCATTTGGTACAACAAAAATTATTCTCATAGGAAACCTGAATGACAAAATAGCAGGACACAAACATGACTCGTTACGTAGTGCATTTCTGTTAAAAACACAGAAGTTCATAACAGATATGGAAACTGTCCACGTGCCCATCAGCAGATGAGTGGATAAAAAAGCTGTGGTATATTTACACAATGGATTACTATACAGCAGTAAAGAAAAGGCTCTTTTACCCTTTAAGACACCATGGAGGGACCTGCAGAATATTATGCTGAGTGAAATAATCCAATCAGAGAGAAGAAAGCATCACATGATCTCACTCGTGTGGAATAAAACAGAATACTAGATCCAGAGACATAGAACCAGGAACAGACAGACAAATTTCAGAGGGAAGGGGAGGGAAGATGCAGATGTTCTACAGGCTGTTATGAAACATTTTAAAATTAGCAACAGGTGAAGTAACAACTCAGAATGGAAGCTAGACTAGGGGAAATTAATATCTAGGATACAAAGATGTACTGAAATATGCCTCCATTTCAGTTTCTCTATAGCTACTGTGTGCTGTTTCCCTTCACCTACTTCAAAATCCACTAGAGGACTCCCAGAGCTGTGAGTTCTACCCCCCTAGAAACTAAGTTCTATGCGAATAGGAGTTTTTGTTCTGTTCACGCTATTCCTAATCATAGAAAGTGACCCGATGCAAGCACTACGTATTTGTTGACCACAGGGGCCAATAGGAACGTTTTACAATAAACGCAAGGCAATCATTCGCAAGTGCTTCCTACGCACCAGGCACCTGTTTCAGGGGATTCAAAACCAGCTGTCACAAGCCCTTAGGGAGGGAAAAGGAAGGAGGACATGCCACCAGGTTTTCAGATACTGACTGTAAAGCCAATGGAACCATCATGTGCACCAAGAGCCGTCACAGACTGCTCCTCTGGGGACCGCTCTGAACGAGGAGCTTTGAGCCACTGCTGGGCTCCTTCCTCTAAGGCCGTGCTGCCGGAAGGGTGCAGGAGCACGCACACGCGGGGGTTTCCTGGCAAGTCTCCCATTTCTCAGCAGGAACTCTCTCCAAGCCCTCCTATCATCCTCCTTCGCCTAGATTTTCATCTTCACATACATGCCCTAGTCTGACCTCCATCTCTCGCTCCTCCCCAATTGTACAGACTGTTCCGCTTTGCCCAGACTGCCTGCCTCCAACAGTGTCCCTCCCTAAAGACCCTAAATCTGTGGAGGCTGGTGCTGTATTCTCTGCTGCTACCCGCTTCCCACCCCCATTCTGTTGCTGTTCATTACAGATCAGGCTTGTGGTCACCCCACACTACTTTTGTCATAATTCCTGATGATTTCACTAGCCATGTGGGTGACCTGCCCAGTAATCTTGTCTCTAAAGATCTTATTCATTTTCCTAACCTCAACCATTCACATTCTAACCATGAACACATCCTAACTCTTAGCATTATAACTGCTCCCCTGTATGAACTCAGTCCCGGGAATCCCACTCTGACCTCTCTTCCTAACACCTGACCACAGTGCTCAACACCACAAGGACCTACCACCCACTGGTTCTCCTACCTTAATCTCTGTCCTTCAACCCCTCTCCTCTCAGTTTCTCACCCAGCTTCCCTTATTTTAATTTACTCCATTGCTGTCATTATCCTATTGTGTTCACCTGGTAACCCCCCTACTGTGGTTACATTTACCTCTTCACTGGACTCTGCCTACATCACTTAGCGGACGTGTGTAGAAAAACCCAAATGCATGACCACTGACCTCAGGTGAGGTGGTGGTTTCCAGCAAACATATTACATTTACTCTGGAACCAAGACAACATCTACCTGGCCCTTTTCCCCAACCTCCAACATCTCTTCTGTCACCCACCTTACTCAGAGCGAATGTCCACACTATTTCAGTAAGAAAAAATAAGCAAGGAGAAGAGAACTTCCACCACACGGTCTTCCAAGCTCAGGCACTCGTGCTCCTTAATCTGGACAAGGATGTCACTCCTGTATCATCCTCTCTTCTGTACCCATTTTCTTTCTATTGAATCATTCCCATTAGCACACAGTATGTCTCATCTAGACATACTTCTCCAGCTCCTCTGTTCCCTTTATAAGACAGTATGTTTACTCTTCGACGCAAAACTAGCAAAGAGCTATTTGTTACTGAAGGCTGGCCATTTATCCTTTTTTTTTTTTTTTTAATTTAATTTTTTTTTTTTTACCTATCTGCATTTGACATAGTTTGATTACTCCTTACTTCTTAAAGTGCCCTGTGTCTTCCTTGCCTTCTGGGACACCCTTATCTCTTGGATTTCCTCCGACCTCCCTGGTCACTTAGATTCCTTTGCTGGTTTTGTTCAATTCTCTAGTGGGGTCAATATTTAAGTGCTCCAGGGCTGTAGCATTTTAGCTAAGCACCTTACTACTCACCTTGTCCCTGTCTGTTGACAACAGCCAAAGTGATCATTTTATTTTTATTTATTTATTTTTTAGTCAGTCTTTATTGTTCATATTATTACAAAGGTTCCTCATTTCTTCCCCCCTCCACCAGGTTCCCACCCCACCCTCTGCCCTTTCCCTACCCCCCATTGTCCCCATCCATAGGTGCACAGTTTTTATGTTCAGTCTCTTCCCGCATCCACCACTCCCCTTTTCCCCGAGAACTGTCAGTCCCAAAGTGATCATTTTAAATCCAAGATGCTCAACCTCAATCATATTAAGGGAAATGAAACTACTAAATTATCATTTTCACCCAGAAGATTCACAAAACCCAATAGTTTAATCACACATTGTTGTCAAGGATGGAGAAACACGTTTTTTCATAACATTCCTATGGAAGGCATTATATTTACTCTGACTCGAGAATCCCTGCTGCTTGATCTTACAATTATACGCTAAAATGTACAAAATAGTAAATGCAAATGATGATTCATTGTAGGAAGTCCTAGCCAGAGCAATTAGGCAAGAAAAATAAATAAAAGGCATCTAAATTAGAAGGGAAAAGTAAAACACTCTGCCCACGCCTGTTTGGCTCAGTGATTAGAGTGTTGGCCCACGGGCTGAAGAGTGTGGGTTCGAGTCCCTGGCCAAGGACATGTACCTCAGTTGCTGGTTCGATCCCTGGCCCCAGTTGGAGTCAGTGGGGAAGGCAACCAGTTGATGTGCCTCTGACATCAAAGTTTCTTTCCCTCTAAAAATCAATGGGGAAAAGAAAAGGTAAAACTATTTGTGAATGACATTACTTTATATATAGAAAACTCTTAAAGACCACCAACAACTATTTAGAAATAATAAAGCCGAGAGGAGGGAAGAGGGAGAGAGAATCATTGGTCAGGTGCCTCCTGCATGCCACCCCCCCCCCCCACCACCACCACCACCACCACTGGGGATTGAGCCCAAAGCCTGGGCGTATATATGACCTTGACCAGAATCACCCAGGACTTTTAAGTCCACAGGCCTGCGCTTTATCCACTAAGCCAAACTTACCAGGGCAACAACAAACCATTTAAAAGAGAAATAAGAAAATTCCAGCCGAACCGGTTTGGCTCAGTGGATAGAGCGTCAGCCTGTGGACTGAAAGGTCCCGGGGTTCAATTCTGGTCAAGAGCACGTACCTTGGTTGCGGACACATCCCCAGTGGGAGGTGTGCAGGAGGCAGCTGATCGATGTTTCTCTCTCATCAATGTTTCTAACTATCCCTCTCCCTTCCTCTCTGTAAAAAATCAAATTAAAAAAAAAAAATTCCATTTACAATTACAACAAAAAGAATAACATACCTAGGTATAAATTTCACAAAGGAGGTGAAAAGGCCTTGCACTGAAAATGAACGGGACCAAAAGTTTTGCCTTTTGAAATAGTGATTTTACACTAAATTCTTCTGAAACGAGACTTAGAACTTCTGACTCTCTCGTGTCTAAGAGATTCAAAGCTTGCCTCAAGAAGGGGACCTCAGCATAACCGCTATAGAGGGGAAGACTACAAGCAGGAGCCTGTTAGCTAGATACCTGGGTCCCATTGTTTCTGAGTTGCCTAGCAAGGTTTTGCCTGCCATGTGTTCCACTCTTCCTCAACTACCTATAAATCACCATTCTCACTTTTCAAATCTAAGATCCTGTTTTCCTCCTCCTTCATCCAAAAGTAATATGTACACCAATGCGCCTCACTGTCTTTGGAATTTTCAAGCATATGTGAAGTCCCTGGGTTCATGTATTAAAAATTGGATTTTCTTCTGTTAATCTGTCTCTGCTAATTTGATTGTTAGCCCACCTAGAAGAATTTAGGAGGTGGAGGTGGGAGGAAATGTTGTTTTAAACACCCCTGCCCCACCCCCTACTCCCACCCCCCTCCCAGCTTTGGAGAGCCAGCCAGGAGAATTCATGGCTGGAATACTGCTTACTCCCTAGACTGCTGCAACTAAGAGATAATGGACATCTGACCACAGCGGGCTGAAGACGGTAAGCATTTTACCCTGTCGGCCTCTGATCTCTGTGTGTGTGGGCTTCGATGAAAATTAGATGGATGAAAGCAGCCGAAACCGGTTTGGCTCAATGGATAGAGCGTCAGCCTGCGGACTGAAAGGTCCCGGGTTCGATTCGGTCAAGAGCATGTACCTTGGTTGCAGGCACATCCCCAGTGGGGGAGGTGCAAGAGGCAGCTGGTCGATGTAGCTCTTTCATCGACGTTTCTAACTCTCTATCCCTCTCAATTCCTCTCTGTGTAAAAATCAACAAAATATATTAAAAAAGAAAAAAAAGAAAATTAGAAGCAATAAGAGTCCTTTTGCTCTCTTCTACGTTTAGATTGACAAGAGAAAATATTTATGAAATGAGTTTCCTGGGCAAATGTGATTGGTAAAAACTTGGTTTGAGTACTATTGTTTTCTATGAATCCTGTTCCTTCCAAAGATGTTCCGTTATCTTCACCAGCTGAATGATGTTTATGTATCTGGTGAGCAGCCGAATGGGCCACGGACCCATGCTTAGGGAATCTTAAAACTTATTTTGTTCCAAAGGGGGGAAGCTTGTGATTTCCTGTGGCTTAGAACAGCTGGTGAAAGACAGGGCTCCCTTTCTTTCTTAGGCTAACTCTGCGAATGAACTGTTGGATCAGTGAGGGCTGTATCTTTTGTGTTCTTTATGGAAGCCTTTTGCGTCCTTGTTTTGCCATAAAAGGCTTAGTGTTTGGATCGCTATTAAAATCCTACTGTCAATGGCCAGGCGATGGATACCTTAAACTGGAAAAACTTCTAAATTGAAAAATGTTTAGAGAACTCTCATCCTATATAATAAAAGGCTAATATGCAAATAGAATAAACCGCAGAACGACCGATCACTATGATGCACACTGACCACCAGGGAGCAGACACTCAACGCAGGAGCTGCCCTCAGGTGGTCAGTGCGTTCCCATGGGGGAGTGCCACTCAGCCAGAAGCCAGGAGGCAGCTGATTGATGTTTCTCACATCGATGTTTCTGGCTCTCTCTCTCTCTCCCTTCCTCTCCGTAAAAAATCAATAAAATATAAAAAAAGAAAAAAAAAGAAAAAAGAAAAAGCCAAATGTTCACATACTGTATGATTCCATTTATGTTACACTCTTGAAATGACAAGGTTAGAGAAACAGAACAGATTAGTGTTTGTTAGGGACAAAGAGGGTGTTGTGACAGGAGAGAAGCGGTGGTGGCTATAAGAGGGTAAAATGAGGAATCCTTCTGGTGATGGAAATGTGCTGTATCTTCACTACATAAATGTCAATGTCTTGTTTATCAAATTGTACTCCAGTTTTGCATATTGTTAATATTTGGGGGACTCCAGCTAAAGATCTCTATTATTTCTTAAAACTGCATGTGAATCTACAGTTATCTCAAAAAGTTTAACATAAAAGTGAAATGTAAAAAATCTAGGTTAAGAACATCTAGCCAGTGCTGTTAACCAGTACACTATAGGAGGTATTCCTAAGTGGTAAGGAGTCAGCCATGTGAAGTTCTGGAAAGAGATCTGCGATAGGAGAGTTCCAGGGATGGGAACTAGAAACTGAGAAGGATTTAATAGGGGAGCAAAATGATCATGTTGGAAAAACAGAAAGTGGACCAGTGTCAGTGGAGTATGGTGACAAAGGAACAGGATGAGGAAGATAAGATGAAAAGGATAGGCCTGGGCCAAGTCATATAAGACTTTATGGACCATGGTAAGGATCTTATTTTGAAGTGTCAAATGGGTAGAGTCCAATCATTAAGATAAAAAAAATTTATTTTGCAAGGCTGAAGATAAGAATCCTATTTAGCCTAGGAGACACAAAAGAGCCCTAGGAAACAGGGATGCCACACAACAGGAAGTGAACTACCTATATAGAACTTGAGATACGGAGTCACTAAAATTCAGCTTTTACATGAAAACAAGCAGTGGCGGAAAGTCAAATGCTGGGCCTGACTGAACTCAGTCAGTCCTGTATTTTCTGGGCTAAGGAGGAAAAAAATAAAGATTATAGATACTGTCAATACAATGTGATGCTTTAAAAATGTTTTAACTGCCCCAAATGCCATGCTGCAATTTAAATAGCATTGTGATCCATAGGTGGCATTTTTCACATATCCACTCACCTCTTTTTTGTCTTTGAACTTATCGATTTCTTTCTTCAGTAGCTCCACTCTTTGAAAGGATTCAAGATTGTTCACGCTGTACACCAGAACAAAGCCATCGGCAAAGGAGAAATAGTGCTTCGGTAGGTCCACGCCCTCCTGCAGGCCTCTGGTGTCATAAAGGTGTAACTGTTCCTTTACTCCCCGATCCGTTTCCACTGAAGCCATGTACACATCTTCCATGGTTTCACAATCTTCCATTCCTGGGATGGAAAAGGAATTACTGTCATAGGTGCAAATGTTGAAACATTGTAGCAACTAATAAGTATTTTCATGTCCTTTAGACGTTGGCTTTCTAGCTTCCCTATTTGCTACATGAAAGAATCATATTTCCATTACTAACTTCTGTGAAATGAAAGGTAGTTGGTACAGTAAATGACGAAGATGCTTTTTAAAAACATGTCTTCGGTATAGAAATAAAATGTTAGTAATGATTTAATATTATGTATTTTTAAAAAATTACTGTGATAAGAGTCCAAGAGCTGGATACCTAAATTGGGAGATTACAGGCTGGGTTTAAAAATAGCTTCATTAACTAAGTGCTCCCATTTTCATCTCCATCAGAGCCAAGGACAGGACCTGAGGTCAATTTGCTGCCCACCCCCCCCCCTTTTTTTTTATACAACTTCCTCTATTTCCAAGGGCTGTTTATGGGACTCAAAAATTTATAACCTGGCTAGTGTAGCTAAGTGGTCAGCATCGACCTATGAACCAGGTAGTCACAGGTTCGATTCCCAATCGGGGCATATGCCTGGGTGGCGGGCTTAATCCCCAGTAGGGGGAAGGGAGGGCAGGAGGCAGCCTATCAGTGGTTCTCATCATTGATGTTTCTCTCTCTTCCTCTCCCTTCCTTCCTGTAATCAATAAAAATATATTTTGAAAAATGTTATATGTCCAGTCTGGGCCTGGGCACCAGGCTTTCATTCCCAATCACCTATGGGCACTTTATGTGGATGTCCTCTAAGTACTCCCAACTAACAAAACGTGTTATCTTTTCTCCCCGTACCTGTTTCCCCATCTAGCTTTCTCCCCGGGATCAACATCTCCCTGGGCAGTCTGTAGGGTTCTCTTTAAACAAGGAGAGTGTGGGGGAAAGTTATCACACATTAGGCACTCTGCTGCTGAAACTCCTGCTCAATACATTGCCGCCTTCCATGCCCACTGGTGTGTGAGCACCTGAACTGCTGCAACAGTTCAATAAACACCTTGTGTCCTATTTAGACTGCTCAAATGTCAACTCCATGGGTCCTCTCCTGATTATCCCCTTCCCTCCTTTCTGCTCCTACTGTGCCTTTTACAAGTAACACCATTTATTACTTACATCTCCCATATTCGTCCCCTCAAAGGCTGGAGTGTAAGCTCTTTGGGAGCCAGGTCTGGAGCTAATCTATCTTGATAGCTCTGAGGACTAACAAATTAACTTACAGACATAGGAAGTCCTTAGTAAATGTTTGCTGAATGAATGGATTCGTCATTGATGTCCCAATTTCAGTTCCTTTCTTGCCTGGGTGATCCTTGTAAAATGCATTCCTACTTTGCTTCATTTGTGCAGGTTTGTCTCCAACTAGACTATAACTCCCTTTAGGCTGAGGAATTAGGAAAATCTGGCCAGTGAAAAAGATGAAATACTAAATATGGTAATATTTAGGGTTCCCTAAAAAGTGCCCCATCCAGGTCACCTTACGAAGCCCAAAGTCATAAATTCTATCCACATGCTTACAGTTTTCAATTAACATTTTAATCCTCTATTCTTATTTACCGTATGAGCAGACAACCTAGGATTTCCAGATGCTTGAGTAAAAGTAAAAGAGAGACCAAAAACCAGAAAAGAACACCTTATAGAAAAAAGAATGCAGGAAGAAGGAAATTTACAAAAAAAAATTACCCAATATTAAAGAAATATGATAGTACATCCATAAAATAACAAACAGGATATGAAGAAATGAAAACTCAACACAGGGGCTGGAAAATAAAGATAAGAAAAACTCTCAAAAAATGAAACAAAGTATTGAAAGAAAACAGGAAAGAAATTAAAAGATTAGATCACTAGATTGGAAGTTCCAGCACAGAGAAGGGGAAAAGCATCAACAAAATAATTCAGAAATGAAGCACACACATTTCCATACTCAAAGGGCCAGATTTTCTTCATATATTTAAACTAAAGCAGCATATCACAATAGACTGAATATAGAAGAAAGTAGATATGATAACCCTGCTGGACAGGGTTACGATTTTCAAAAACATAAATCAGTGCTCTTCTCACTAAATTATTTTGAACTACAATAATATAATTTGTTTTCTTTTCTTTTTTTAACTCAATGCTTTGATTTCATTGCTTTTTAAAAATATATATATATTTTGATTTTTTACAGAGAGGAAGGGAGAGAGATAGAGAGCTAGAAACATCAATGAGAGAGAATCATCGATCAGCTGCCTCTTGCACACTTCCTACCTGGGATGTACCCACAACCAACGTACATGCCCTTGACCGGAATCAAACATGGGACTTTTCAGTCCACAGGTTGACACTCTATCCACTAAGCCAAACCCGTTTTGGCAATAATATAATTTTTCATAAAAATGTGTTATCTTGGTATGTAATGTTTATTGTTATTATTTTAAGTAATAAGTACTTTTTAAATTTCTGTTTCAATTTCTAATACAGTAAAAAGATAGCCTATATAAACAAAAGCTGTTTGGAGTTTTAGGAGGGTAAAGGGGTTCTTTTGTTTCCCTCTGGGCGTAAGTTCTTTTTGCACAGCCATAAATTAAATCTGGAGGTGGAAAATTAGGAATAGTGCAGCATTTGTGGCAGGAGGGATTTAGAAACCAAAAACTTTGAGAGCCGCTAGCACAGACACCATAATAAAAACCAAATATGATTTAACCAAAATGGCTAAATATTTTGGGATGGTGGAAGAGAAGCAGAGCTCATCAAAATGGTTATTAAAAGTAAAATAGAAATGTGCTCTAAGCCAGCGGTAGGTTGGCGACCACTGCTCTAAGCTACTTGCCTGAGATAAATACTACAAAGACCTATGTATGATTCTACTTATCTCTTCAGCACAAACCTCATTTAATTCTCATTTGCAATGTGTGACTTCCTTAAAGCCAAAGGTGCTGTCTTCTTCACCTCTGTATTCTCACAAGGCTGCATCACAGCCTGTTGCCCACAGCAAGTATTTAATAACGACTCAGCTTGATGAATGAATAAATGAATGAGATCATCCAATTCACAAAAGCAGATCATACTGCAGCAAACAGCTGTTTCTTCCATTTTGGAAAGTCATGTTCAACTTATTCTATGTATTCTAAATACACTGAATGTATTCTAAAGTCAGTGCTTCTATGACTCCGAGATATAAATTACAGCAAGCACTCTTGAATTTCACTATCATAAAAGATGTGTGTGGGGGTTTTTTCTCTCCCCTATTATTTCCTCCCTCAACCTCAGTTGACTTCTGTGAATTATCCTTTTGGTCCCTCTGGATTTCTCTTTTGTGTACTGTCCCCCACCTTTAGGTTAGTATGTCCAGCTAAGACCCCTGGCAGTTCCCAGAACCTACAGAGAGACTAAGAAAAAGAATCTTACCAATAGTATGATTCCCATAAAGGAGCTGCTCCAAAATTGCTGTTTTCCCCACAGATAGCAAGCCGCACACCACGACTTTGCAGCCCTTTCCCATCTTGTCTCAGGACAGCACTGCAGAGAGAGCAGAATATCCTTAAAACTGTATGCATTGAAATCAACCTTTCCTTTTTCTGTGTTTAAATGTAATAGTAATACATCCAGAGGGGAGATTTCAAATTTAAAAAAAAAGATATATAGAATAAGGTATACTGTTCCAAACTCTATTCCTAGTGTCCCATTTGCTGCCTTGGCGCAGTCAGTGTTACCAGTTTCTTACCGATTTTTGCAAGGGTGATCTAGATACATGTAAGAATAAATGTCTCAAATACAGATATAAATACTCATTTGTAGGTTTTCCAAATTAATAAACAACTTTTATACGGAGACTATTTCAATACTAATGAACTCTATAGAAATCAGAGGCAAATCCTAGATGAAACCAATCCTTGAAAGAGACTCCCTGCTCATCAATATTTACCTGGAAAAATTTAAGTCAAAATTTAAGGAAACATTAAGATTAAAAAAAAAATTGGATAAAGAATGGACACGATTTTTAAGAAGCCTTAATGCTATTCATGCTATTGTCAGTCTTAGGAGAGTGAGGAATTGGATTTTGGTAGCCACGTGGGATCTCTTCTCTTTCTTTTTTAATTTATTAATTTTTTACAGAGAGGAAGGGAGAGGGATAGAGAGCTAAAAACGTCGATGAGAGAGAAACATCGACCAGCTGCCTCTAGCACACCCCCTACCGGGGATGTGCCCGCAACCAATGTACATGCCCTCGACCAGAATCGAACCTGGGACCTTTCAGTCCGCAGACTGACGCTCTATCACTGAGCCAAACCGGCTTCGGCATCTTCTTAGTCATACTTTTTGTCATACTTAATGCTAGAAAAATTGCTGAAACTTATCTTTAAACTAGAAAGAAAAAGTCTTCTCTCCTGGCTTCCTAACATATCCAAAGAAGAGCAAGATCAGGTAACATTTTCTTCAATTTCCCCCAAAGCTTTTACTTTCCAGAAGGCAAGGTACCAGAAGCCAAGGACAAAAGGCTCATTAGATACAACAGAATATATTCATAAGAGAATTCAAAGTCCGCATTGCCTTTTGCTATTTCCCACCAGCTTCTATGTATCCCAATTCTCTTCCTACCTAGAACTGACTAAACTACATCGACCGGCTGCCTCCTGCACACCCCACCAGGCACCTGCCCACAACCAATGTACATGCCCTTGACTGGAATGGGACTTGGGACCCTTCAGTCCCCAGGCCGACATTCTATTTACTGAGCCAAACCGGTTTTGACTGGTTACTTTTCTGTGTATGCATGTGCATTATACATCAATACACTGAAAATATTAATAAATGACTTTCCCTACTTTATTTTCTCAAAGTCTAATTTTTATGACCCAATCAGCACTAATCAGCTGATAGGAAAAAATTTTTTTCCAGGAAAAATAATTTTTATTGATTTTTTTTTACAGAGAGGAAGAGAGAGGGATAGAGAGTTAGAAACATCGATGAGAGAGAATCATTGATCAGCTGCCTCTTGCACACTCCCCACTGGGGATGTGCCCGCAACCAAGGTACATGCCTCTGAAAGAAATCGAACCTGGGACCCTTCAGTCTGCAGGCTGACACTCTATCCACTGAGCCAAACCGGTTTGGGCAAAACACAACCTTTTTATGTAATCAGAAAAAATTTTAATACCGAAACACTATTAACATCCTAGAAAGGTGTTACAGAATCTTATGATATAAACATCACATGGGGAAACTACACTGTGTATTTTTTTATGGAAACATCATATACTGTGTGCAATACTTTTACTATATATACATGAGCACATTTAAAGGGTTTTATGCATTAAAAGGGTTTTTACAAACAACACTGGACATAATATCATAAGCAGATTCCAGCTTACCATTTTTTTAAAAATATATTTTATTGATTTTGTATAGAGAGGGAGAGAGATAGAGAGCTAGAAACATCGATGAGAGAGTCATCGACCAGCTGCCTCTTGCACACCCCCTCCTGGGGATATGCCCGCAACTAAGGTACATGCCCTTGACCGGAATCTAACCCGGGACCTTTCAGTCCCCAAGCCAACGCTCTATCCATTGAGCCAAACCGGTCTTGGCCCAGCTTACCATTCTTTTATTCAATGAATAAATATCTACTGAGGGCTTACCATAGTTCCAGGCATTAGAACAAACAAAACCAGAAATGATCCCTAACCTCAGGACTCTCAAAATCAATTGGAAATACCAATCCAAATTTTGTAAAACTAAGAAACGACAAATTAAAAACTGCAAAATTTAATTAATTAGCAGTGGTTATTCACATCACCAAACTCTCCTTTCCAAATGATTCATCCAGCTCTGCCTGTAGTCATCAACCTTGACTCATTTTCTCACACTCCACTTCTGACCCATCAGTAAATCCTCTACGAGGTGGAAACATCCAGGCTGAACCATTTACCACTTCCCATCACTTACGAGAGGGTCTGAGGGACCAACTTCCCTCACCTGGTCTTAAAGACATTCATGTCCTTTTTTTCTTTTTTTTTTTTTAATATATTTTATTGATTTTTTACAGAGAGGAAGGGAGAGAGAGAGAGAGCTAGAAATGTCAATGAGAGAGAAACATCGACCAGCTGCCTCCTGCATGCCCCCTACTGGGGATGTGCCTCCAACCAATGTACATGCCCCTGACCGGAATCAAACCTGGGACCCTTCAGTCCGCAGACCAATGCTCTACCACTGAGCCAAATCGGTTTCGGCGACATTCATGTCTTAAACCCCCAAACCTGGGTATATTTACTTGATAAAAGAAAAAGGCATTCTGCAGCTCTGATTAAACTAAGACCATCGCAGTGGGGAGATCATCCTGGATTATCTGGGTGAACCCAATGTAAGCACAACTGACTTTATAAGAGAGGGAGCCAAGCGTGTCAGAAAGGGAGACCTCTGGTCTTTGATAATGAAGAAAGGGGTCAGGATCTAAGACTACCAGTGGCCTCTAGAAGTTGGGAAAGGCAAGGAAATGGATCTTCCTCTCATGCCTCTAAGAGGAACATGGCCCTACTAACAACTTGATGTTAGCCTAATGAGATTTCTGACCTACAGAATAATAAGACAATAAACTTGTGTTGCTTCAAGCCAGTAAATTTGCTATAATTTGTTACAGCAGCAACAGGAAACTAATACAACCTCCTCACTAGTCTGCTTCCACTTTCCCCTTTCCCTTTAGCCTCAAAACTACAATCCAAATGGTCCTTTAAAAATGTGTAAGCTATTTCCATTTGACAAGAGAAAGAAAAGTCAATTAAAGCCAAACAAGCTTTTATATATAATTGATGTAAGAGATGAAGAGAGGGAGAAACATCAATGATGAAAGAGAATCATTGATCAGCTGCCTCCTGCACGCCCCACACTGGAGATGGAGCCCACAGTGACCCAGGCATGTGCCCGGACTGGAACTGAGCCGTGACCTCCTGGTTCATAGGTCGATGCTCAACCACTGAGACACACAGGCTGGCCCAAATAAGTTTTTTTTGTGTGTGTGTGTGTGTGTGTGTGTGTGTGTGTGTGTTTATTGTTTGAAGGATTACAAATAGTAGTGCATATGCCTCTTTTTTCCTCCCTTGACCTCCCCCTGCCTCCCCCCCCCCCCCCATCCATTGGTTATGTTTATATGCATGCATGCAAATCCTTTGGTTGATCTCTTACAGTCCCCCAAATAAGCTTTTGATTTGTATATAGCTTGCATCTTGTGGTCCTCAATAAATTTATTTTTTGGTTCCTAAAAAAAAAATATGGAAGCCACATAAAGTTATCCTTCGGCTCAACATCTCGCAGTGTCTGCCAATCTTGTGCCGGTTGGAAACCCAATGTCCTCATAACCTTCACCCATCTCTCATCTTCTAGGTCCCGTGTGCCTCCTCCTGCTCCGGTGTGAATCAAGGCACCCCCCCCCCCTCCCCTGCCCCGGCCTTGGCGCTTGTCCCTCGGACGGAAAGTGGTCTCCACATCTCCACTCTCATCTTTCAGGTCTTCTTGAACACTCCATCCAAAATTGCCACCTCAACACTCCCCATCTCTAACTGACATCCCCCACCGTTTGTCTTTACACTTATCATCCAATATTTCATCTTAACTATGCTTAGTGCCCGTTTCCAAGAAAGCCAGTGCTGCTGCCCTGACCACAGCTGCGCCCCCAGCAAGAGGGACCCTGCTTGGCGCAGGTCAGGCACTTCATAAATATCACATCAATGACCCATGTGAGGGCTCTTACAATGAATGGTAAACCTGACTTAAAAAAAAAAGGGGGTGGGGCGGGGGAGGCGAGACCGCTTTGGCTCAGTGGATAGAGCATCGGCCTGCAGACTGAAAGATCCCGGTTTCGGTTCGATTCCGGTTAAGGGCATGTACCTTGGTTGGGGGCACATCCCCAGTAGGGGGTGTGCAGGAGGCAGCTGATGGATGTTTCTAACTCTCTATCCCTCTCTTCCTCCCTGTAAAAAATAAATAAAATATATTTAAAACGGGGGAGGGGAGCAATAAAATAGGAGATAGGGGCGAAATAACCAAAACCTCTAATGATTTTTAGAAGGTAAATATAATTCTCTCAAATGTTGGCCAAATTTAAACTTAGAACTTGTAGAATTAAACCACACCATTGTATTAAAAGTATAAATACTCTGGAGAAGCTAAAAAAGCCAGTAAATCATTTCTTAAAACCATTTTTTAAAAAAAATAAAGAACGCAACACAAAACGCCAGCATTTTCTCAGCATTTCTTCTTCCCTAAACACGCGCACCTGTCAACCGGGTTTTGGCAAATACATACTGCGGTTTTGTTTGTTTTTTTCTAAAAAAAAAAAATTGTGGTTCTGGCGTAGCCATCCTGGAACCAAGTCCTCACGCAGGAAAGACACGGGATGGACAAGCACTCTCCCTCCCCCAGACCCATTTCGGGGCAAAACCCCCCGTCCCTGGCCCTGCAGGGGGCTAACGCCGACTTTCCCCCGGACCCCCAACCCCCGCGAAGCCCCCGGGCTAGGAGCGACCACTGGCGGCGGGGGCAGCGGTGGCCCCAGCCCTCGGCGCCCGTCCCAGGGTAGAAAGGTGACAGCGGTGCCCGCAGCGACACCTCAAGCGAGGAGCCTGCGGGTGCGTGAAGCGACGTACGGGCACCTCCAAACGACACAGACCTGCACCCTCCGCAGACCCAGAGGATAACGGCGCCTTCGCAGCCAGGCTCCCCCGCAAGTTTCAGCGGCTGCAGCCCCGCCCCCAGCTCGCCTCCTCCCCTCCCCGCAGCGGGTCTCGAACGCCCGCTGCCGCCTCCGCAAGGTCTGTCGCCTAGAGGAGCAGAGGGGCGGGACAGTGGGGGAGACTCCGGCCCAATCCCGGCGGAACTCCGCCCACCAGGCGCTTTGCCGGAACTACATGTCCCATGAGGCTCTGGGAGGCCGCCCCTCTCTTACCGGAAAGAGTTTCGCTGAAGTGGTGGTGGGGGGGAAAGGAGGAGCCCAAGAGGATTGTGGGAGAGAGGCTCTTCCTTTCCGTCTGGCCGCAGCCATCTAGGTAAGCCGTGTCGGAGACAGACGCTATTTCATCCGTCGCTCATCTCCCTCTGCCCGGGCCATCCAGGCTCGGGGACCCTGCATCCTCAGAGCTCCTCCCGCCCCCTGTGCGGCGTGAGTTTGATTAGGATGCGGGACAGCGGGGTTACGGACAGGCGGCGGCCGCCGGGGCGGGCCGGGGGATGGTGTGATGGCGGCGCGAATTCGAGCTGGGCCCAGAGAAGCGTGAAGGAAAGGGAGGCGTGGGGCAGAGGAATGGGAAGCAGGGCCAGGGCTTCCTGAAGCGAGTCGGTCGGTTGGGTAGAGTACATGCTTTTTTCTTAGGGAGTTAACCTTTTGGCGGCGGCGGCAACATTCCCCTGTATTGTCGGCGAGGCCTCTGCAGACCGGGCCGGGCCCTTGGAGATGCCGCCTGCCGCAGTGATCCGCCCCTTCAGGGCCTAAGGCTTGCGCCATTCATTCGTGCAGGGGGTGGGGGTGGGGAGAAAGGCGCCGAGGGCCTTCCTGCGCTGCCCTCTCTGGGGTCGCGGTGCGGGGGGGGGGGGGGGGAGCGTTTAGGCTAGCGATGCACTGCGGTTTGTGCAGAGCCATTTTCATTCTCCGTGGATGCCTTGTGGCTGGCGGGGAACTAAGATGGACGTACGCAGTCCTTAATACCCGGTGTTCTCTCAAAGGTAAGCCAAGATGGGCGCTTACAAGTACATCCAGGAGCTATGGAGGAAGAAGCAGTCGGATGTGATGCGCTTCCTTCTCAGGGTGCGCTGCTGGCAGTACCGCCAGCTCTCCGCGCTGCACAGGGCCCCCCGCCCCACCCGGCCCGACAAGGCGCGCAGGCTGGGCTACAAGGCCAAGCAAGGTGAGTGGTCCCTGCCCGGATGTTTGTTTTTTTGTTTTCATTTTTTTGTATAACTAAGGTATTATATGTGTACGTATCTTACCATTGCCCCCCCCCCCCCACGCACACACCCCACTCCTGTACATGCCCTCACCCCCCAGTGTTTTGTGTCCATTGGTTATGCTTATATGCATCAAGTCCTTCGGTTGATCTCTTTATTTCTCCCATATCTCCCTAACCTTCCTGCTGTAATTTGACATTCTGTTTGTTGCTTTACTGTCTCTGTATCTATCTTTTTATTCATCCGTTTATAATGTTCTTTATTATTCATAAATTCTGCCTGGATGTTTGGGTAAAATTGTATTCCAGCGGGAAAGCTAGAGGATGGTGAGTAGGAAGAGCAGCTATTGCCCCGATGTCTTCCTTCTGTAGTTCTTTGGCAGCGACTGTCTTCAGCTATCAACACATTGAAGTTGTTGACCAATAAATAGACATTTAGCTGCTCTAGCAAGTGTCTTGCATGAGTCTGGACTAAAGCAAAGTGTGCAGAGTGAGAATGAGAAGTTAATCTCTCTCTCTGTAGTTAACAAAGGATTTGAAAAATAACTTGTATTTTTTAAAAGTAAATCTCAAACTGATGTTCGTTTTACCATCATGAGGTCTGTAGTATTTGACTTATGGTCTGAATATATTTGATGTAGGAGCAAAAGTGACATGTCATTGAGTCTTGCACTCTATGGTTTTTATAAAATCACCCTAATTTTTGTTTATAGGTTATGTCATATATCGGATTCGTGTGCGCCGTGGTGGCCGCAAACGCCCTGTTCCTAAGGGTGCGACCTACGGCAAGCCCGTCCATCACGGTGTTAACCAGCTGAAGTTTGCTCGAAGTCTTCAGTCTGTTGCCGAAGTAAGTGGCTTTTTGAGAAGCAGTTGTATTGGTTACCTCCCAGAGGTGATGTGGACAGATTTGAGCAACTTTTCTGATAGCTAACTTATAGGCAGGTGAGCCCTTTGTGTTTAGATGGGGTTTGTGAGTTTCATTATTAACATTGGTTGAGTTTCTGTCAAAGGCAAGACTATAAGCCTGTCACTAATTTATATTTGCTCATATTTGTCAGAAAGTGTTTTTTATGATTAGTGTGAACCTTGGAACCAAAGCCTTTCAAGGACAGTAAAAAGGCAAAACTATGCAAAAGAGACCGTTGTGGCCTGCAGTGCCTAAAATATGCTAAACTTTAAGGTTTTTTTAAGAAGTTTGCTGCCCCCCTTCTTGATTGTGTTAGAAAAAAGGAAAGTTCCAGAATCCTAAATTTTGTTAGCCAGATAACCTTATTCATTCCTTACAGGCATTCACAAACCCCATTCATTCGATAGGGGCTAATAGTAGGGAATAGTAAGTTTAGCTTTTCATACTTACGGTTGTGTACTATAGTCTGTCTAGTGGTGAATTAAAGAGGATTCTTGGTTCCGAATTTGCTACCAGGGGAATGTGGGAGGCTGACCTTTCTTCCTCTTCTAGGAGAGAGCTGGACGCCACTGTGGGGCTCTGAGAGTCCTGAATTCTTACTGGGTTGGCGAAGATTCCACGTACAAATTCTTTGAGGTTATCCTCATTGATCCATTCCATAAAGCTATCAGAAGAAATCCTGACACCCAATGGATCACCAAACCAGTCCACAAGCACAGGGAGATGCGAGGGCTGACATCCGCAGGCCGCAAGAGCCGTGGCCTTGGGAAGGGCCACAAGTTCCACCACACTATTGGTGGTTCTCGCCGCGCAGCTTGGAGAAGGCGCAATACTCTCCAGCTCCACCGTTACCGCTAATATAAGTAATGTTTGTAAAATTCTTACCTAATAAACAATTTAGGACAGTCCTGTCTCCTTAAAAGTGTTCTTTAATTTGTTAAAACTAGTCTGCAGATTGTTTTACGAATGCATTGTCACATTATAAAAGTTAAAGTGCAATAATGTTTGAAGACTAAATGATGGTGTGTCGCATTACTCATAAGGTAGGCGCTTTTGTCTTGGCTTTATGTCAGCGATTTTCAACCTTTCTTCATCTCCAGGCACACGTGAACTAATTACTAAAATTCTGCAGCACACCAAAAAGTAATGTTTTGCCAATCTGACCAAAAATAGGTTATTTTGATCCATTCTTTTTTAACTTGACAATCTAAGGGGGCTAGAGGTCAGTGCCCCTGACTAGTCAGATACTGCATGTTTTAAAAATTGTCCCACCAGTGTGCCACAGTATATGATTGAAAATCGCTGTTTTATCTTATTAGGGAGTTTCCTATGTCAGTGTTTGGTATAGGTGTAAAATTCTGTGAGAGTGTAAAACTAGCCAGTAGGTTTGTTGGTGCATGTGATGAAACCTGCAGCTTTATTAGGGTAATGCAATGCTCTGCTTGTTTACTCTCAAGGAGCTGCTTTTTGGAGTTTGAATTTTGCTTGGAAATGTGAAAGATAACCCATTCTCATGGTCCTGTGCAGAAAAATGAAAGTTAAGTAGGGGCTTCACATGTTTTAGATTAACCCAATAAACTTCTGAAAGAGAAAAGTTTAAAAGAACGCCACCATTTTTTAGGAGAATCGAATGATTGATCCTATTGAAATGGTTCTCTTTAAAATTAAACATCCTAGTTTACCTAAACAAAACTGGCTTGGTCTCCATAGTACCACTCACTTCAATGTCAAAAGCCAGAAGCCCTGCATTCAATCCCATGACTGAACTTCATGCAAAGTAGTAATAGTAATTACGTTGGTGTATATTGAAACTGATGGAAATTGGACAAATGAGAAGAGAATTAACTTTAAGATATGTTGTGTTCTAACTATTATGAACCCGTTAGCCACCTTAAGGGAGGAAATACAATTGACTTTATTTAAGGGTACTTAAGTCCATTTAGTCTTACAAGTCATTGTGGGCCAACCCACTATATCCATTATTCCTATTATGTACTTATGTACTGGTATCAATACAAGGTTAAGGTTTCCAGTCTAGCCTTGGGCATTGTCTACAAATTTTCTCATTCCTGTGCAAACTACCCTCAAAATCCTTACCATTCCACAAACTTCCAGGCCTTCAGTTGTGCCCACCTTAATGTCAAATCATACCACCATGTCATGTTTGCCTCTTAATACAATAGACCAGGCTTCTGTTTCCCAGGATGAATCTGAGCGAGCAGGAAATACAGAAGAGTAATTGGCTCCAATTTTCCAATTCTGGGTTTGCTGACCTATTAGGTAGTTTGCTTCTAAAATCCTAATTGCTGGTTTTCTTTTTTTTAACCAATTTTTCTTACTTTCTTCATGGGTCTTAGAAGGCTTGGTTAAATGATTTCTAGAAAACATGTAGCAAACTCATAAAACCTCTTAAGACCTAAATTCCTTTCCATTCAAATCTCAAGCCATCTATTTTGTGTATAGAGGTTGTTCAACTAAAAGAATAAATGTCTGTTAAACTGAAACAAATGGACCTTCTGTTATCTTTTCTCACCTAAATTTCAATGTGCTTTAGAGCAAATGAAATATCCCAACCTGCAATAAGGTATCAAAACATGATGGCAGGAAGTCAACAATATCTAGGAAATTGAGTTTTTCTCTCAGTTCTTTGGTTTTTGCATGAATTAGAAAAATATAATTTCAGACTTTTTCTAACTGTAAGATACTAATTGGGAGAGGGGAGGAAATGTTTCCGAGAACGACTTGCTTGTCCTTGTTTTGTCTCCATTCAGCAAGTACCTAACGCCTCTATGACGGAGGAAACACAAGTATTAATGTCCCTCTAGAGGCTTTTTCTAACTGCCCCACGAGCTGTTCTGTTTTCATATTTTAGATCACCACATGATTCAAACATAACCAAACTGATTATCACGATTTTCTTTAGAAGTAGAGCAACTGGTTTCCAACAAGATGTAGGTAATTAAAACCCCCTTTGCCAGTGTGCAAACAAAGATGAAGCAACCCAGAAACTAAAGGGGGAAAAAAAATGAAGCAACTTGCTCAGGTCAGCAGTGCCATTCCGGATTCATATCTATAAACAGTTTAAATTTTGGTTAGATAATACATGGACGTGGCTAGAAATTCAAAATTTATTATAATGTTCTATAGTGAAAGGCTCCCTGTCTCCAAGTTCCCCTTTTGAAGGCAATGTTATCAATTATTTCAAGTTTTTTTATTTACCCAAGTTGGATATCCCACACCTTGCTGATTTCTTTCACATAGTTATACATCTCCAATCTTATTTTATATTCAAAAGAGCTTTCTCATGACTAAGGTATTCCACCAATATGGATGTACCATATTTGTTGGATGTGGCCCCTGCTGATGAACATGTAAGATTTTTTTTTTTTTCAGGCCCCGCTGGATAACTCGGTTAGAGTATTATCCGAGTATACCATGGTTGCAGCATGTTCAGTCTCCATCCAAACTAATTACCTAGTTTTATTTTTGCACTTTTGAGTGTGGCAGAGGTAAAGCCATGTGTACACCACAGCTTTCCTTTTTCCTGAACATACAAGTAAACAATGTTTTCTTGGTAACCTTAAATACATTTAGGTAGGGGTCTGGATGATTTATTCTTGCCTATAGAATGGGAGCAGAAGTGACATATTACTTCCCTCCAAGACAGTCAAGAGTTGGTATGCCAATGGGAGCCAGTGCTTCAAATAGGTTGAAGAAAGCTGCTCAATCCCTATCAGATTCTATAAATCAGAAATAGACTTCATTGTGTTAAGCTACTGTATTAGCTGTGTTCATTTTTTTAAATATACTTCATTGATTTTTTAAAGAGGAAGGGAGAGAGAGTTAGAAAAATTGATGAGAAACATCAATCAGCTGCCTCCTGCACACCCTCTACTGAGGATGTGCCCACAACCAAGGTACATGCCTTTGACAGAATTGAACCTGGGATCTTTCAGTCTGTAGGCTGAAGCTCTATCCACTGAGCCATACCAGTCTTGGCACTGTGTTAATATTGTAATAACACTAGAGGCCTGGTACATGCAATTCATGCACTTGCGGGGGCCGTTCTTTCAGCCCGGCCTGCGCCCTCCTGCACTCCAGGAGCCCTTGGGGGATGCCAACTGCCGACTTAGACTTGCTCCACACCACTGCTACTACACTCGCCAGTCATGAGCCCAGCTTCTGGATGAGCGACACTCCTCCTGTGGGAGTTCCTACATTGAATGTGTGACCCTTGGTGGTTGGTGCACATCATAGCAACTGGTCATTCCTCCGTTTGGTTGATTTGCATATTAGCCATTAATTATATAGGACTAAGGGGGGAGGGGTATTCCTCAGCCCAGCCTGCACTCTCCAATTCAGGACCCCCTTGGGGGATGTCCGACTGCTGGTTTAGGCCCAATCCCTCTCGCAATCCGGGACCACTGGCTCCTAACCACTCACCTGCCTGCTTGATCACCCCTAACTGCCTCTGCCTGCTGGCTTGATTACCCACTAACTGCCCTCCCTGGTGACCTGATTGCTCCCTAACTGCTCCCCCCTGCTGACCAGATTGCCCCTAACCGCCTCTGTCTGGGCTCCTGCCACTGTGGCTTTGTCCAGAAGGATGTACAAAAGATGTCTGGTCTAATTAGCACATTACCCTTTTATTAGTATAAATAGCTTAGTTTGACCCTGCCTAATTCAATAAGTGAAGTTGAGCATCAGTTATATGTTTAATAGTCTTATGTTTGCTTTATAGTGGCCTTCCATTATATTCCTTTGTCCATTTTTCTATCAGAATCCATATACTCTTTTTTCTTTTTCTTTTTTTTTTTCCTTAGAGAAAGGGAGAAGGAAAGGGATAGAAACATCGATTCAGGTGCCTCCTGCACAATCCCCACTGGTGATGTGCCCGCAACCAAGGTACATGCCTTTGATAGAATCAAACCTAGGACCCTTCAGTCCGCAGGCTGACGCTATATCCACTGAGCCAAACCAATCAGGGCAGAATCCATATACTCTTAATACCATGCTATATTAAATGAATTGGAAGGTGGCTACTAGATGATTGATTGTTGCTATGCTTCATTTCTCTGCTCCCAAGGTTCTTAAAGGTGATTTGATGTAGATTAAGTTCTTGAAAAAAATTTTTTTAATACATTTTATTGATTTTTTTACAGAGAGGAAGGGAGAGAGAAAGTTAGAAACATCGATGAGAGAGAAACATCAATCAGCCGCCTCCTGCACACTCCCTACTGGTGATGTGCCCACAACTAAGGTACATGCCCCTGACCGGAATCAAACCTGGGACCTTTCAGTCTGAAGGCCGACGCTCTATTCACTAAGCCAAACCGGTCCCAGCACATTCTTGAAATTTCAACTGTTCATTATATACTTTCAATTCTAAGCTCTGATTCCATTTCTAAGTTCTTAAATTCCTAAGAAAAATTAGAAGATATATTGTGCGTCAGGCAGACTAGATCAGGCATGTCAAACTCTCAGCCCGCAGGCTGCATGCCTTTTATTTGACCCATGTTAGCCTTTGAATTTGACATGCTTGAACTAGATTCTACAATAACAACCCTCAAATCTCATAGAATAAAAAAGGTTTGTTTCTTGCCCTTACCACATGTTCATTTGAGTTGGTCATAGTTGTCACTCCAGAAATCATGCTACAGGAACAACCGTTATCGAGTATGGCAAAGGGCAAAAAGCATGGTACAGCATGTCCGGCCTTTTATAGCTTCTGCTTAGAAGGTTGTCTGAAGCAAGTCCCATGGCTATACTTGAGTTCAAAGGGTAGGGAAGTGAAATTTCACCATGCCTGGAAAGAGGGAGAAGCTGGACTGTCTGCCATCAGGTCAGAAAGTGAGGGCGGCTTTCTCGCAGAGGTGCACCCAGCAAATATTGTTTACTGCGCTGGGGC